CATTCATGTTTGCAATCCTTCTCACTTTGCCCTCTCATATTTGCAATTATTTTCACTTTGGCCCTTTAAATTTAATTTTCTTCTACTTTAACTCTTCATGTTTGCAATTCTTCCCACTTTACTCCTAGACTAACTTCCATCCAAAAATCTACCACGTTACCAACACATTAGCTCCATGTATGATGTAAAAAATTCACTAAGGATGCAAAAAATGAAAAATAGAAAACAAAAAATTGAAATTTTTTAAAAGTTTTTAGTGAATTTTTTGTCAAATTTATTCATAAACATTATTGCATTATAGATACATCTAACTTAGATGCACTTGAAAAACTAAAAAATAAAAAATAAAAAAATTAACTAAAAAAATAAAAAATAAAAACTTCACTAAAGACGAAAAAGAAAAAAAATACGACAGTAAACTTTTGATTTCAAAATTGACAATGCAGGTGTTTGAGTCAGTATATTTTTTTTTTTTTTTTTTTTCCCTATATTTTTTTTTTTTTTTTTTGCCATCTTTAGTAAAATTTTTCTTTTTTTAGTTAAATTTATTTTTATTTTTTTAGGTGCATCTAATCTAGATGCATCTATAATGTAATAATGTTTATAAATAAATTTAAAGAAAAAGTTCACTAAAGACTTAAAAAAAATTCAATTTTTTTGTTTTTTATTTTTCATTTCTACATCTTTAATAAATTTTTTACATCACATATGGAGCTGATGCGTTAGTGATGTAGTAGATTCTATTAATTTTTTGGATGGAAGTTACTTTAGAAGTAAAGTGAAAAGAATTGCAAACATGAAGGGTCAAAGTAGGAAGGATTACAAATATGAATGGTCAAAGTGAGAAAAATTAAACTTAAAGAGTTAAAATAGAAATGATTACAAGCATGAAGGATCAAAATAAAAAATGAGTGAAACTTTAAGAGGCAAATGTAATTTACCCTTAAAACACTTATGTGTATGTTTACGTATGTATGAATTTTGTGGCATGACAGGTTTGTATAAAAAGCTTTTTTATTTATGATCATTTGATGTATTTATTTTGGCTCTGATAATGTGATTATGTTATGTTTAAAACTTCAATAAGGTTAGGTATAATGAAAAAATTTTCATAAAAATAATTATGAAAGTTTTGTGACCTTTGAATTATACTTAGAATAAAACACCATACATTAATCAAGGTAATTCAAGGATCATAAATCTTTCATGATCAATTTTATGAAAAAATTTTATGATTCTAACTTTTTTCTTAAAACTTGGGTTCACAAACTCTTTTTGACCGTTGTTTGACCCTCCTTCTATACTTGGTTTATTACGGACGGTAATTGATACTCCCTTCCTCCTAAAATAATAATTCTTTTGAAAATTAAACTTTTTTGGTTGTATAATCATTACACTTTAAAAAAATTAATTTTTTAAAATTTTTCTTTGATAGTACATATTTTTAGAAATATCAATTATCATAATTATATTTTTTGTGTTATAAATAAATTTAAAAGAATAAAAAAATAGAAAATTCATATTGTTTTAATCCTTAATTTTTGAAATGTGACTAATATTTTAGGACAATAAAAAATTAAATAAGAGACTAATATTTTGAGAGGAATAGAGTAATAGGGCTCCTAAATTTTTTGGCTCAAATTTGCCTCGAATTTGCTTTTTTTTTTTTTTTTTTTTTTTTTTTTTTTGGGTTTTTTTTTTTTTTTTTTTTTTTTTTTTTTTTTTTTTTTTTAAATGGGATAATGGTTAATTAACTGAAATTATGGTTTCAGAATATCCAAATATGGTATATTCATTGTTAGCAAAATTGAGTCTTAGCAGTCTTGTGTATATGATGTAGATTTATGCTGTTATTAGTTATAATGAGGGTAAGTTTGGGAACTAGTTTTTTTAGTAAAAAAGTCAAAAAGTCGCTACCAAAAAATCAACTATTCTCTCCACTTTTTTACATGTTTTTTTGTAAAAAAAAAATAAAGAAGCTAAATAAAATAGTTAGGTTCCCAAAACAACCCTGAATCTGAGTTAAACCTGTCATCTTTTACAGTATAGCAAAAAATCATTTGTCTTAGAAAAAATATGATTAATGCGAGGAAAATACATTTCAGAACATGGATGAAATTAAATGGTGGAGCCGGGGTTCGAAATCTAGACTTATGAGTGGACATGTAAGGTTGTGTTTGAATCTTGAAATTGTAGAGGAATACTTTTTTCAGTACATGTCCAAAATCTGAATAGTCTTAAAAGCTTTTTTCTTTATACATACATGCCTAAATTGAATGTGTATGTACAGCCTTCCAATTGTTGGATCAACAGCTACATAAAATAATTTTTAGCAAAGCAACTGAACGGAATTCTAAATCACGATATTCTGGTTTAGGGTTGCATGAATCTCTATTTTTGGATTCAGTTGCCAAATCACTTGGAGGGCCTTCTTTCAAAACAAAATCTGATTTCCTTTCATTCTTGCAATGAAATGTGTGCAGCGCTGATTCTGGTGGGGAATCTTCCAATTCCTACTCATAGCCAAACATGGCACCGGACATTTGTGATTGAGTAAAATTTCATTGTGTTAATGTAACTACCTGAACTCCTGAGGATTAAGCATCGCTATGGTTGTAAGAAGGACCGACAGAATTGAATTGATTGTTCAGGACTAAAGGAAATTTTGATTTTCGATTAGTTTCTATAGCAGTTTGGCTTCTCTCAAGTTGACAGCCTTTGGGTTTAGTAGGCTCATCAATTTTGATGATCTGAATCATTCACTTTTTATAACTCGTTAAAAAGAATATTCACATAAAAAATTAAGATCAGTATATATTTGAATCATAAATAGTCATCTATTTTTTATAATACAAATTTCATTCAAACACATAGATATCGATACTTGATCATCTTATTTTTTTACATGAATATTCTACTCAGCGAGTTTTAAAAGGTGAACAGTTCAAATTATCAAAATCGATCTCAAAATGGGTGTACAAAACATAAAAGCTCTCTCAAGTTGAGATGATCAACATGAGATAAGCTCACCCATTTAATATATGGTTTGCTTAAGTTTTTTTTTTTAAAAATATACTGATATCAACTAAATTGTTTGAAATATTATATTTAAATACTTCTAGAAGATAGTGACTAACGATAATTATTTTGGCTTCGTTTGGGAAGTGAGTTTGCTTTTTGACTTTTTGACTATTTTAGCCTAGGCTAAAAAGCTTGGTTTGAGAAGGGCTTTTTAGCTTTTTTTGTGAGAAAAAAGTGTAATAATTATGGATTAGATGTGATGTTTTAGTTGTTGTGGCTAAAATAGTCTATTTTGTCTTTTGTGACTAAAATAACCAAAAAAAACTCCCCAACCATCGTCCCAAATGGTGCAATTGTAATAAAGTTTAGGAAGAGAAATATTTATAGAGCAATCTCTACCATTTTGTTTTATTTATTCTAGATATAGAATTCTAATGATTTCAACAATATCTTTTACATCATGCGAGTCCCCTTTTTATGTTAAGCCCTAGTTTAGCATGTCTAAAAAAAGATAAAAAAATAAAAAATTATTTAAAAAGTTATCACTATTTATAAAAAAAAAATATTAAAAAATTAATTTTACATACAAAATTACAAGACAGATCTGACCGATAGATATGTGCCTGTGTTGCTTAAGAAAAATTGGATAGTTGGGGTGCAATTTTAATACACGGCTGTTCAGCCCGTGGGGGCCCACCACGGGTCCCGTTTTGATAATCTGAACCGTTCAATGTGTAGAACTTGTCGAGTACTATATGTCTGTAAAACATCACATTGATCAGATATCGCTAACTACATGATCAAATCAATTTTGTATATAAAAAATGGATGGTGTTATAGTTAACGGTTAAAAAAAATCAATCTGATCAGATAACTATCGATATCCGATCAAAGTGATTTTTTACAGGCATATAGTACTCGACGAGTTCTACATATTAAATGGTTCAGATTATCAAAACGGGACCCGTGATGGCCCCCACGGCCAAAACAGCACCGTCCAGTGCAATGCCCGAAAAGTAGCCAATCATTTTTAGCATCAATTCAGCTGCGCAGATAGTACGACTGTACACCTCACACTCCTAATCTTCTCCTATACACTAATTTATACAATTTTTTAATACACATTTTTTCATAAAAAGTCAAAAAGTTAACCCAAACAACACATTGATCGGATATCGCTAACTACATGATCAAATCAATTTTGTATAACAAAAATGGATGGTGTTATAGTTAACGGTGTAAAAAAATCAATCTGATCAGATAACTATCGATATCCGATAAACGTGATTTTTTTACAGGTATATAGCACTCGACGAGTTCTACACATTGAATGGTTCGAATTATCAAAACGGGACCCGTGATGGCCCCTACGGGCCGATCAACACCGTCCAGTGCAATGCCCAAAAAGTAGCCAATCATTTTTAACATCAATTCAGCTGCGTAGATAGTATGGCTGTACACCTCACACTCCTAATCTTTCTCCTACACATTAATTTATACAATTTTTAATACATATTTTTTCATAAAAAGTCAAAAAGTTAACACCAACAATCATATTTTTTTTCCTCAACTTTTTAGTCCAAAAATTCAAAAAGTATACTTTTATTTAAGACACTCCAAACAAAAAATCAAAAAATTGACAAAATAGAACGGTAATATGAGGACGTTTTAATTCTTCAATTAATAAAATCAAATAGTTCAGTTTGAAGTGAAATTTTCCGTCAACCCTAACCGAATTGAACTATTTACACAAGGGTTGTCATCAGTAAATAATCAATCATCTTAATTAATGAAGGGATTTTTGTATAACTAATAACAGCATAAATCTACATCATATACACAAGACTGCTAAGACTCAATTTTGCTAACAATGAATATACCACATATTTGGAGATTCTGAAACCATAATTTCAGTTAATTAACCATTATCCCATTTTAGAATTATTGATCTGAATCTAATGCACAAAAGGTGGTAAGCATGCAAATCATCACAATCAGCTTCAAATGAATCATCATTTAACTACAATAGATCAAACCTGTTACAACCCAATGATTAGGCAAATAAAAACGATGCCTATAAAAGGATGTGACCAAATTAGAGGAAACACAATTACAAACGCGAAGACATTCCTCATCATCACATTCACACAAGAAATTGAATACTCACACTCAGAAAACAATGTTAATACTCACATTAGTTGAAAACTCACAAAATCAGTTAGGTTTAAATGAAAGCTTGATCTTCCGGCCCAACAAGCATGACCTGCCATTCAGAAGCCTGCATTTTAGTATATAATAAAGAGGTGTATTTTTCAAAAGGAACATTCATGTTTAAGCATAAACATCTATCATTCTTTTACCCATAATCTAAGAGGAAAAATAAAACATACAAAATAAATACAAATCACTATAAATATACCAAGAGATATAGAAAATATGTGGCGTGCTCAAATTAGTTATTCTTAGCATTGACTTCTGGCTTTTATTGCTTTTCTTCTGGGGAAGGGCCACCAGAGGAGGGCGGTGGCGGGGGAGGGGCAGGAGAGGATGGGAAGGCCTTCCGGGGTGGGGAATGGCAGGGAGGGGGGGGGCGGGGCGGGGGGGGGGGGTGGGGGCTTGGCATGTTGACCGAGGCCAAGGCATTGGTGGCAGCTGGTGGTGAAGGATGTAGTGGCTCAGGTGGTGTAGGGTTAGGGTTTGGAAGGTTAGAGATGGGTGCAGGGTTGGAATTTTACATTAGGTTAGAACTGTAATAAAAAGTTATTAGGAGGTGGGGACCAAAGAAAGAAAATGTGGTGTTATTTAGCAGTACTCAAAGGAACAGTCGGTAAATATTTGCAGGTTTTCTTTTTTAACAGAACTTTTTGCACCACATTTAGCACATGTTTTCCTCATATGGGGAGCCAAAAACAGTATATAGTAAAACACAAAGAAAGCAAAAGCTACATACATTGCAGTCAAGAGCGTATCTCCTTGCAAGCATAACGGCCGCATTTCTTTCTCGCTCTGATTCAAATACCAATACAAAGGATTGTCCTTTCCTTGCTTGCCAAAACAATGACTTAGCTGCAGAATTACCACCGCCTCTGAATCCACATAGCTGGAGCAAAGAAAGAGTCGAGTAAGAAATGCTTGCCCACAAAAATACAAAAGCCTATACAGGTAGTTTACAGAATACAAATCTTAAGCTAAAGGAGAGATACTATCACTTTGGCTTAAAAGGAAGGCTAATCTAAACGAAATTAAATAGGTAACGACATTTATACGAAGTGTTGATATGTTTCCCATGATGAGTACAATATATTGAAGTGATGGCAACTTCATTGTCACTCCCATTAGAGACACAACTTCTCCATCAACTTCTTTCTTTTCTATGCTGTGTAGATTAGAGGACGAGAAGAGAGCCTTCTTAGAGCACGAAAATTTAGAAAAACTTTTATTCCAGAAACATACTCGTGGGGAAATTACCTTTGCATTCTTCCTTTTTCATTTATAGAATGAATGGCTTGGAATTTAAAAGAACCAATTTTGTTTTCACAGTTGAGTGCTAATTCATCCTCTCTAATGATGCATTTAAAATATGGGTCTTGTTAACATGGGCCCTTAGGGCACTGATTAACCAATCCTTAAAAGATATGGCACCTCACCACAAATCATATCAGTAGTGAATATGTAATTAATCTTACAACTTTCCCATTTAAAACTATTTGAAGTTGTGTGAAGGAAAACCAAATTCATCTCAAATATCACAAAAATGTGAGTGAATAATTCAACCTACAGGGCATCCAAGTATGCCTCGTGTAATGTTTGATGATTCTCCTAATCAATTTTGTTGAATAAAATATTCAGAGCACAGCCACAATAAGTACCTGCATTGATGTGGAATATGATTCTCTAGCCTTTGTAATCCATCCTTTACAAAGTTTCATCCTCATTTTCCCCACATGAAACAAGTGAACAGAACGTGATGAATAATTTTGTCCATTCATCTGGGAAATAACTACCTGTAGAACAATGAATATTAGAATGATAACATCTAAAAGATACAAGAATTTGAATCAGATGTCCCATTGCAAATAACCAATCTTGGCAGCCAAGTTTTATATTCTCATTATATGTAACCAGTACTTTACACACTGTCAATATTCTCATGGTAACTTACAGTAATCTGTATTTAATAAGTTCTCATTATACCAATTAACATTTTGATAAATTTACGATGACTAATGGTCACCAGGCTCAATGCACAAAATGTTCATTCATGCTCCTGAATAAACTGATAACATAAAGCTATATAAGAAATAAAATAAAATAAAAAGTTCCCTTAATAGCACATCAAGCCAAGATTTAAAGCTCTACAAAATTAAACCAAGTGAAGGAAAAAAAAAAACCACCATACACCACCTAGTGTTGGCTCTCAATTCGGGGACAGGTGGAATAGGTTCAGATGTACTTCACAGAGATGTGAAGGAAAAGCAGTCACACAGTTAATAACACCAAATTATGAGAACAAAACATCTTTGATGATTACTTGATAGCAAAGGTAAGTGTTGGATTTCTTAGGATTCAAAATTTTCAAGGATTCTAGGCATTTAACAGCATATCCAATATTATGAATGCCAAGCTGTTGGGAAAAGGCTGTGTATGAAACAAAAAAGGCAAATAACTAACGAAGGGACGAATTTTATCAAAATATAAAAGATCATACTTTTATCACTTTGATTTGTATTCCATGTAACATGAAGCCAGGTATGAATGGGGTGCAGTATATAGCTCAACTGCCAAAATGGTCAAGTCTCTCTCCTTAGTACACTAGGCTTAAATATCTGTATCTATATGCTTCTTCTATATACAATACAAGGCTAGTTTCCCCAAGTTTCTTCTTCTGGATCTGCATCAAATATCAACTGCAGGATGTGTTTGGGTATCAAATTCATCTAAATCTCATATTTTCCAACACCGAGACAGCCAAAATGTCAAAATGGTGTATATTTCTTTCTTCTGTATACTAGGCTCAAAGAGAGGGCAGTGCTATATAAAGTCTCCACAAGGATACTGATACTTCACTCGTCTATGAAATGTTATCACGTAGTAATCGAATAATAAACCATACAACGGAACTTCCAGCAAACTAGATCTTTGGGGTAACGTGTTTGGCAGTAGGGGTTAGAAAAAAAGTATTTCTTGTAAACATTTTTGAAGTATCCATGTAGGCATTTTAGCTACTGCCCAAAAGAAGACAAATAAACGAAAGAAAGAAATAATCCAGAGTTGGTCCTTTTCCAGAACAACTATGTCATCAAAACCATTACTCCCTAATCTCGTGACAATCAGTACCAAAAAATTACCAGAGACCCTATTGATGGAGTGTAATTAAAATCATCAAGAATCAAAAATCTGAAGGAGTATAAAAATATGATCCAACAGTGCTGACTTGGTGACATGAGAACAAATACCTCTACCAACCAGAGAGAATAAGACTGAAAAGCAAGCAGTCCACATGAAAATATAAACTTATAAATACATGGTGTAAAATTTTGGCACGTGATAGATATAATTTGTTAGAAGTGGAAATATGACAAAGAAATAAAGTAACATACATTAAATTCAGTGTTGGGTTTCCGTAAAAGCGTCTCCACATAACTGGCCAATCCCGCAGCTGTTGGAAACAACTTAAAGTCAGATCAATATTCAACTTTCTGTACACATCAAATTAGGGATGAGCACCAAACATAAAAAAAACTATAATTAGATGGCTTGGTCATGACCATTTTAGCTCAAAGGATGAGAAACAGATAACAAAAGGGAAAAGGATGACTTGATGAGAGTTAGTATTTATATTTACATAAATCACATCGAACATTAAAGGTACTGACCTGGACCTATGGGACCAGAAGTTGTCACAGCAACCTTTTGGCCAGCTGAGACAACATCAACTTCCAAAAATCGCCCAACATCAAAGGGCTCTGGAGCATAGATTGATTTGTTGGCACCTGAAGATGTGGACAGTCAAACTAGTGAGGAGAAAGCAAATGCAGCATGGAGAAACAAAGGTAGTTCAGAACTTAATATTTTTGTTGCACCCAATAGAAAAGGAAACAACATATGAACTCCGAATATAATCCAACATGTGTATTTTAACATTAAAATGTATTCCAACTTAAGACATAAATCTATTTTTGGAAAGTATATGCACTCAAGTATATAAAGTGATTAGAGAGAAGCAAGTGAATCCTATATTACGAAAACAGATACCTAGTGGAAATTCAATTGCAGAAAAGTAAATATATTTCGAAATACTGGTCTCAACTAACTATATCTTCTAGACATAATAATTATTTTCCTGAATTGATGAACATCATCAACAATACGTATACAACATCCCATCCGCTAAATGAGAAAAAACTAATAATAAATAAATAATAACTGCTTCAAGAAAAAGACACTGGAATGTAAACATAAGTAATGCTGTCTAAGTTACATTTCTAGTAGTAGATGAGCACGGCATATTCTAAGAGGAAGCAAAAGCTATGTGGCCAGCTGACTGAAACATGTTGCAGATCCACTTGACTCCACCGCAATTTAACGAAACAATGAAGGAATCAGATCCACTCAACACAAAAGGTTACCCATTGGCATCATATTGTCCAAATTAAGAAGCCAATGCATTTTAGAGTGTAGTAATTTAACCAATAGGCATTCAGAGGGATAGGCTGACAGATAAGAATCGTGTCAAAACTTAGGTTAGTCTCAGGCCAGAGGTTATTTAATCCGAAAATTCAAATACTCGGTGCTATATGCTCGGGTCCAAGAGCTCGGCCAAGCATAGCCTCCATTTGAGTAGTACCCTCTGTCCAAACATATCTTCTGAGTATATCCTCTATCTCCATTGCTTTGGCCCCCTCTCCGTGATATACTCCAATGCACTATGCCAGTCTAGGTCAGGAGCAAGGCCTAACAACACCCTTGGGTTAATAAAAAAATTACGGGGCACTTCAGCACTACCCTTTGAGACAAAAGGTCTCTGGTTCAAGTGTGTGAAGCGACGTCTCACATCGCCTAGGTACAAAGGTAATGTGTAGTATACAAATGTAAGGGCACCCTCAACTCAACAACTAACTTTTAGAGTTGAGTTTTATCCAAGACCATGTAACATGGTATCAGAGTCAATGAAGGCCTCTGGTTCAAGTGTGTGAAGCGACGTCTCACATCGCCTACATACAAAGGTAATGTGTAGTATACAAATGTAAGGGCACCCTCACCTCAACAACTAACTTTTAGAGTTGAGTTTTATCCAAGACCATGTAACATGGTATCAGAGTCAGAACATGCAGGAGCAGGTAAAGTGAGGGGTTTAAACACTACCCTAGTGACCATTATTAAAATACATCCTTAGTTATGCACTGGGTACTCAATATTTAGGAAATCAAAACTTTTTGAGATATATATTATAGTTTAAAACAAAAGACATCAATAGAGAACTTGATACTACTGCACTCTGTGCTAAATACATCACAGCAGTAAATATGATTTTCCATTTAAGCTGCATAATTTAAAAGTTGTCCAAGATAAGCACTGTAACAAAGTCAACCACACATTCAAGAAAACAGAATGGATACCTGAAATAAGTTCCCTTCTGCTACCTTCAGTCGGTATACGATACCACTGGATTGAACATTTTGACAGGTCTTGAGCTTCATCTGAGCAAGGTTGAACTCGCAAAGCTGAACCTAAAGTTTCAGAACCACCGAACTCATATACACGGAACTTGTTCTCCTCAGCCCTCCTGCTCATTGCCAGCTGCGAAGATTAAGAAAGCACAACAAATTAGAAACTCAACCTCACCATTTGCACCTCAACTCACCAACCTCACCATCATTATTAACAACCCTCAGACCCCATCTCCCATGTGATTTTTCATTATGTTACATGTTATTTCATTATGTACGCTTTGCTATTGAAGCTCTAAATTTTTTGTATATGTTTATTTGTTGTTACTAAAAATAACGATTGAACCATTTTCTTCTACCCACTTTAAAATATAACTTCCATTGTTTTAGATGAGAGAGACTAAGTTTCTTAGAGAGAGAAGAGGATAGATAGATCCAAAGAAGCATGAACACTTCTAAGGAGAAAGTGTGTCGTGTTGGACACCCATGTCAGACACTGAAACTCTTTGGCCACTTCTATAAGTGTGTCCAACACTTCTGTAAGTGTGTCCGACACTTCTGTAAGTGTGTCCGACACTTCTGTAAGTGTGTCCGACACTTCTGTAAGTGTGTCCGACACTTCTGTAAGTGTGTCCGACACTTCTGTAAGTGTGTCCGACACTTCTGTAAGTGTGTCCGACACTTCTGTAAGTGTGTCCGACACTTCTGTAAGTGTGTCCGACACTTCTATCAAATTTACTATATCAAGCACTAAACAAATTTTCTTAGACACTGCAGCGACACTTTTATATATTTGAACCCTCCAAATATATCCTACGTGATAAATGATAAATCCCTCCATAATAAAAATGTGAAGATATATTTTGGTATTCATTAACATTTCCTTTTTGGGTTAATGACACTTGTCTTCCTTTTATTCATTAGGGTTGTCTCCTATTGTGTTTGTATTTAAGCACACATTTTTGAAATAAGAGATCAAGGCGCCATATTATTTTTCCTCTCCAATCTTACTCTGCAAAGTCAGTTCCCATGGAAAAAAAATGGTACTTACCAAACAAGAGCTGAAAATTCATGACGACTTAAATTCTTGTGCTGCATGTATAGCAGCATTGGATTTTTTAATCCTACCTTTTACAATCTACTTACCAAACACAATATCAAGTGTTGCCTTCTAAGAACTTCAATTTATAAGGCATTAAAACTTTGTTTATAAGGAAAATGAGGAAGGTAAAACAAAACAGTCACAAACCTCTCTTTGGAGCTTAACCGAAATTATAGACTTTTCTCGAATCTGCATGCGTAGAGCTTGGAGCTCATGTTCCATGTCAATCACCTACAAAATATACCACAATTTCTCAAATTCAAACAGGTGATTATTTTGTTGCAGCAGGATATTCATCATAAACTTTGTATTTATAGCATACAAACAAAACATAATTCATTACTGCAGACAAGACAACAATATGAAAGAAAAGAATTAAGCAAACCCAACAACTGTAAGAACACAGTCATTTAACACCACAGCAAACTAAAAATCACAGAACTGTCAATAGATGATGCAAAGAATTCAGCAAGCAAAAGAAGAAAAATAAAGCAGCATATACAGCATCAATACATTATAGATATTTTTATATTATTGGATGTACAAAAAATATTTTGAATTGATCAGGCAAAATATGATTGGATGTTTGATAAAATTACATCAACCTAAACAAGAAAAAGGCAAAGAACTCCATTTAACATACCTTGCTGGGCTGATGCAACAATTTAATTCTTCTAGCCTCTTGAACCTCCTCCAGAAGTTCGTCAAGCTCCTAACAATATTGGACAAAACAAACAACAGTAAGCACCAAGCATCTTCTACAAACAATTTAACATCAGGAACTGCCTCATGAAATATTACTCATCTAACATGCACATTGCCACATAAGAAATCAATAATGTCAAAGAATATCTGTGGACATAACTCAGATTAAGAAAATTACTACTTATTATCAATCACTGCAACAAGCATAAGAATATAACCAAAAAAACATAGTTGAATGGACTATGTATTAGATAAGCATCAACTTCCACTATAACACTGCAGCATCAAGTCAAAAAACTCTTTGAGAGATGCACCAAAACCATGATTGCAACAATCAGGGTTCCAAAGCATCAACTTCCATTTAACCAATTTCTTAGCATCTTCTGAAGCCTAATTTGGATTCTTAAACCCCAATTTGCTGCTATGCTCTATGCTAGTCAGATTGTATTTATCTTACTCATTAACAAATTATCATTACATGCCAACAATAATAGACACCTTGAATTTGTTCCACAAAGAATTAATCTAATGATAGTAATGAATATATCTTCTCACAAATGTGGCATATTGACAGTGACTGCTAAAATTAGCTCCAAAGACTACAATTATGACTATTCTCTTTTATGTCATGCCTTAGATCCTACTGGAATTACAATTAATGTCAATACAAGCAAGATTTTAGATGGTGATGTAAATTAATGAAGAAAGAGGATCTAAAATTCAATAAAGTAAGATCATTGCCTTGTCACTTAGGAACATGAAGGAAGTAAACTATTTAAGAAATTGAACATGTAGATAGATATTGACAGTGAAAAATAAAAGAAATTGGAACATATCAATTTTCCTTGAGACCTTCAAGAGACAAAAGTCAAATCAGTTTGTAACAAAGTCTATGAAAGAAAATAGATAAACCCAGTTGTTACTAAAAATAACGATTGAACCATTTTCTTCTACCCACTTTAAAATATAACTTCCATTGTTTTAGATGAGAGAGACTAAGTTTCTTAGAGAGAGAAGAGGATAGATAGATCCAAAGAAGCATGAACACTTCTAAGGAGAAAGTGTGTCGTGTTGGACACCCATGTCAGACACTGAAACTCTTTGGCCACTTCTATAAGTGTGTCCAACACTTCTGTAAGTGTGTCCGACACTTCTTTAAAGTGTCTTAATTAAAAAATCAAATTTACTATATCAAGCACTAAACAAATTTTCTTAGACACTGCAGCGACACTTTTATATATTTGAACCCTCCAAATATATCCTACGTGATAAATGATAAATCCCTCCATAATAAAAATGTGAAGATATATTTTGGTATTCATTAACATTTCCTTTTTGGGTTAATTGCCGCCCGCCGGTGAAGCGAGAAATACTAAGGTCTTAACCTTGCTCTGATACCATGTAAAAATTTATGTATTATTGATTGATGTTTATTGATATGTATTACAATGATTCATGATTCCTATATATAGAAGAGGGTGAGTGTGTAGTAGGTAAGGAGTAGGTAAAGTGGAGGTGGTAGTGGTGTAGTGGGTTAGGTTTAGTGGAGTAGGTGAGGTGGTAGTGTTGTAGTGGGTTAGGTTTAGTGGAGTAGGTTTAAGTGGGTGAAGTAGGTGGAGAGTATGTGGATTTAGTGGGTTAGGTTTAGTGGAGTAGGTGAGGTGGTAGTGGTGTAGTGGGTTAGGTTTAGTGGTGTAGGTTTAAGTGGGTGAAGTAGGTGGAGAGTAGGTGAAGTGGAGGTGGTAGTGGTGTAGTGGGTTAGGTTTAGTGGAGTAGGTGAGGTGGTTTTTAACAGTATTCATTAACATTTCCTTTTTGGGTTAATGACACTTGTCTTCCTTTTATTCATTAGGGTTGTCTCCTATTGTGTTTGTATTTAAGCACACATTTTTGAAATAAGAGATCAAGGCGCCATATTATTTTTCCTCTCCAATCTTACTCTGCAAAGTCAATTCCCATGGAAAAAAAATGGTACTTACCAAACAAGAGCTGAAAATTCATGACGACTTAAATTATTGTGCTGCATGTATAGCAACATTGGATTTTTTAATCCTACCTTTTACAATCTACTTACCAAACACAATATCAAGTGTTGCCTTCTAAGAACTTCAATTTATAAGGCATTAAAACTTTGTTTATAAGGAAAATGAGGAAGGTAAAACAAAACAGTCACAAACCTCTCTTTGGAGCTTAACCGAAATTATAGACTTTTCTCGAATCTGCATGCGTAGAGCTTGGAGCTCATGTTCCATGTCAATCACCTACAAAATATACCACAATTTCTCAAATTCAAACAGGTGATTATTTTGTTGCAGCAGGATATTCATCATAAACTTTGAATTTATAGCATACAAACAAAACATAATTCATTACTGCAGACAAGACAACAATATGAAAGAAAAGAACTAAGCAAACCCAACAACTGTAAGAACACAGTCATTTAACACCACAGCAAACTAAAAATCACAGAACTGTCAATAGATGATGCAAAGAATTCAGCAAGCAAAAGAAGAAAAATAAAGCAGCATATACAGCATCAATACATTATAGATATTTTTATATTATTGGATGTACAAAAAATATTTTGAATTCATCAGGCAAAATATGATTGGATGTTTGATAAAATTACATCAACCTAAACAAGAAAAAGGCAAAGAACTCCATTTAACATACCTTGCTGGGCTGATGCAACAATTTAATTCTTCTAGCCTCTTGAACCTCCTCCAGAAGTTCGTCAAGCTCCTAACAATATTGGACAAAACAAACAACAGTAAGCAACAAGCATCTTCTACAAACAATTTAACATCAGGAACTGCCTCATGAAATATTACTCATCTAACATGCACATTGCCACATAAGAAATCAATAATGTCAAAGAATATCTGTGGACATAACTCAGATTAAGAAAATTACTACTTATTATCAATCACTGCAACAAGCATAAGAATATAACCAAAAAAACATAGTTGAATGAACTATGTATTAGATAAGCATCAACTTCCACTATAACACTGCAGCATCAAGTCAAAAAACTCTTTGAGAGATGCACCAAAACCATGATTGCAACAATCAGGGTTCCAAAGCTTCTAAGTAAGAAAATCATAGAAACCTCAATAAATTAAAATTTTGGAGTTTATTTGTCAAAGGATAGCCCAGGACTAACCCAAGGTCTTTGAGTTAATCTTGAGTTGGGCTTAGGCAACCAATTTGGGCTTGGGGTTGTGATCAGAACAGGCTTTGGCAGATCCCTTAACTCTTCAAGCTAGGCTTGGACAAGCCCTTAGCATTAAAAACAAGCACCAGTTTTCTTTCATAGCATTAAAAAAAATACATATGCGCTAATGTGACTTCTTAGACATGCATACACACATGTAGACATGTGCATATAAATCAAACAACTCAGTGAGCACCTGCTTTCCTGAGGTCTGGGAAATTCTTTCTTCTTCCTCAAGAGCCTCACCAAATCTTTGCACCACTGCTCTAGCACTCTCAATTTCCGCACAAGCAAAGGACCGCTCTTGGTTAACCAATTTCTTAGCATCTTCTGAAGCCTATAAAGAAAGAAGAAATTGAATATTTCCATAAACACAAAAACAAAGAAATTTGAATGCACTTCAACTATCAAACTAGACAAGAGAAGAGGAATCTAAAATATTTATTGTAATTGCATCATTCAGAATTGCTTCAATTGTAAATTTATGTATGTGCTAGCATGGCTACCTGAATGGTTAATAAATTTGAATTCATTACTTAAAACATAGGATAAAGAACAGACTAAAGTTACTTTAGTGGCGAAGTCAACAAGTAATTGAGCCAAAAAAAAAATACGGAAAATAAAAGTTGCCACAGCTACAAAAGTAAATAAAGGCAACAAAATCTTATTCCACAAAATTTACAATATATCATTAATATTAAATTTTAAAAACTAGTAGCCAGTAAATTTTTTATTACAATGAACAACATGGCTCCATGGTTTCTCTGATATTTACACAAATAAGTTTCTATGTTGATTTTAATGCATCATTACAATTTAGGTGCAAGAAGTATTATTCTAGAAAACACACACCCACATTGGCAAATAGGCACACAATGCAAAAATAACTACTCGAGAGATATTTACACATATTTGCATCCACTCATAAATAAACCAATCAAAATTTGTATCCTATAAATTTAAATTCGTTCAACTATGCCCATCCAGCCAAACCATTCATTACACTATAATCCTTGAGCTCCTTTGGTTGTTAAAGTCATTTTTTAATTTAGGACAAACTCATCACAAGGTATCCTTTAGTTGGAGCTTACGTTTTTTATCAAAAAGAAAAAAATTATATTGAAAATAAAAATAAAAAAAAAACATCACAAGGAGCATAACCTTTGCACGATAGTTGTATATAGTATAATTATTTAATATAAAGGATATATTGTAGCACATACACGCTTGTCCGTATCTATGGCTTATTTTGGGAAGATGGTAAAAAGTGACTTTTTGGCTTTTAACCAAGCTTTTGGCTTTTTTAGACAAATGATTTGGGAAGTTGGTAAAAAGTGACTTTTTGACTTTTTTGATTAATGTTTGTTTGTGATGTCAAATCATAATAAAATGACCAAACTACCCCCATTTATTTAAAATATTTACAACTTCACCTATGTAACACATTTTGACCCATAAGGGGTAAAATTGTAATTTCACCGTTGGCTAAAAACCAACATCCCAAATGAAAAAAAAAGACAAAAAAGCCAACTTTTGGCTTTCGCTACTAACCAAAAAAAGTGACTACCAAGCATATGACACGCTTCCTCCGCAGAAGTGTTCATGCTTCTTAAAATAATTATTGTATACAAATTAAATAAATATATAGTATAATTATTTAATGTAAAGGATATATTGTAGTACAGACATGCATGGCCGTGGTCATATCTATGTCGTTTCGCGTGTCTGAACATGACATGCTTCCTCCACCAAAGTGTTCGTGCTTCTTAGAATAATTATTGAATACAAATTAAATTAATCACATTCAATAATATAATATTTTTACAAATTCAATAATTATTTCCATACTTTATTAATATAGGAATGTGTTTGTCAATGAATAAACATGTAAAGATAATCAGATCAGATAAACGAAAATCATATCATCATTTTGATAATGATATAATATTCATTATATCCATATATATTTATTCAAAAACAAACACAATCCTACATTTATTAAGAATAAATAAATTAATATCATATCATTACTTTAATAATCATTATAACCTGATGTACAGGGTATGTTTATTATATTAATATTCAGATGTACAGGGTGTGTTCTTTAAAAAGAAAAATTCTCTTACAAAAAGATATTGAAGGATTCCAAGGTGCTTTGGGTACAATAAGTACCATAACTATGTGCCCACGGTTATATTTCACGATGAACATCAAATGAACTGAATTCTCTTTTCATGTGTTCTATTTGAATTTAAGACAAATAAAGGAAAAGACAAGGGTGTGCTTCCTCTCAAATAAATAAGAAAAATTATCAGAAGGATATGAAATGAAACTTTTCATTTAGGAAAAAGTATATACAATGGTTAATTATCATAAGTATTTTGAAATACATTATATAGTCATCCACCATGTTTTAGAAATTAATTTTGGTGCACCACCATGCCCCACAGTTAATTATTTAAATCAACAGTGACACGATGACGTCCTTTAAAATGACTTGCTCATTATCATCATCATCATGTCCTCCCTATTACTAAAATGTTCAATATGGCAGCATAAATTTCTTCCAATCATGGAAAACAGGGCAATAGCCTCACTTCATAATTGAATTAACATCATTATAGAGGAATCAAGGTAATTGAAGGAATAAGGAGGATAAATTTTTTCTTGATTACTTGGGTCTATCTTTCTGGGCTTATGGCTAGTACATCTGTACAAATAACAAAGAGAAAGTGTTATTACTTTTTGAATGGACAAAGAAGTTACCAATGAATAAAGAAGTCCAACAGAACCTTGCTAAAGAATAAAAAGCATTTGGAAATTATAGGCCGACAATCCATAGAACTTTGCTACATTGAAAGCTGCAGATTGAACAAACCTTGCAAATTTCTGTTTGGTTTAATTCTGTTTGGAAGGACTTTCAATTCAGTTCTTGTTCTAATTTATTGAAATTAACCAAAGTCAGTTTAGTTATGGATTTGGTAAAAACCAAAGCACAACCAACCCATGTGCACCCTTGATTAAGAGACAGTATGATTTTTTTTTTCCCCCCCCTCCAAAAATTGTTAGGATCAGGGCCGGTCCTGAGATTTGTGGGGCCTAAGGCGAACTTTGAAAATGGGGCCCCTCTAATATATTTTTTTTAATAAAAACTTTATGATTAAAATGATAAGTATTTACAAAAAAAAATTTTAAGTATACTTGCACATATAATCATTAAAATTATAAACTAAAATTTACTTTCATATATTAAGTGAACAATGTTATATATTGTATGTATGGTTTGGGTTGGGTTGGGTCCAAACACTTTATTTGTTTTCTTATAGTTTTTTATATATTTTTATTTTAATAAATATGGGCCAAACCACATGAATATGGACTAAACCAAACATGCGCCCAATAAAACATTTTGGGACCCTTTAAATTGATCCTAAAACAAAAAAAAAAACAAAAAAAAAAAGGTTGGGCCTATAACAATTTATCAAGGCCAAGTTTGGCATACTTGAAAAAAGACAAAAAGTCAAAAAGTCACTATTTTATTTAAGTCACATCATCTTCTTTAAGTCGCATCACCTCTCTAACACATCACTTCAAACCCAACCCAAACCCAACCCATATTTCATAAAAAGTCAAAAAGTGCACTTATTTAGATCATCCCAAACAACCCCTAAATTTGGGGGCCCTTTTTTTGGGCCAAAATTGTGGGGCCTAAGGCACAAGCCTTATTGGCCTTAGGCCAAGGCCGGCCCTGAAGTTAGGATGAAGCACAACATATATACAACATGGAAAAACAAAAGAAAAAGAAACGAAAATATAACCTGTTTGAGAAAGTTCGCTAGCTTCTTCACTTCAAACTTCTCTTGAATCAACTCCCCTTCTTTTTGAGTCAACTTTACTGCCAAAGCCTCCACCTGTAAAATGTTACGAGCACTTAAATTTTATTTTGGCATATACTGAAACATGACATTATGTTCTTATATTCAAACGTGAGAATGGACATTCTGATGGAATTCTAACTTCATTCTAGTGAGCCAAAGATGGGTTTTAGGACATGTACCAAGAATGCATACACAACAAAGCAAGGGAGCAAAGATTTGCAGTTCAATGTAAGTTCCCTAAGATCCTTCAAGAAAGATTAATTTGTTCTACAATTTTAAATATATTGGCACATGAAGTGCATTGCAAGTTTGAATAAAACAACTTGGAATCCAATGATAAAACCAAAAAAAAAAATGTAAATAAACCTATTATCCTCTTTTAGACTCTCAAAAAATTACCTTCGACTTAAATATTCATATATATGATATATAATAATTATTTATTCTTATATATGACATATAATAAATATATGAAATTATGTATTTTGCACGTGTACCCCACGTGTTTTGTCCTATAATTTTTGAAAATTTACGTGTTGGCATGTCTGTGTCCGTGCTTCTTAGCTCATAATGTAGGGTTTTTCTTTTTTTTTTTTTGGATCAGCAAAAAAGAAGATTTATTGATGAAAAACCATACAAGAGATGAAATTACATCAAATAAAGGGAAGGAATTTGGTGAGGAACCAAACCCGAAAGGAAGAGGATGAAAGTTTACAAAATATTTACTAGTAGTGTTATATTTGGCAAAAGTTTTTTTTTAGCTATTTTAGTTTAAAGACAAAATAGATTAAAAAGTCAATAAAATAAAATAGCACATCTAAATCATAATCATTTCATTTTTCTCTCACAAAAGTTAAAAAATTCAAAAAGTCCATCTCAAATGAGATTTTTTTGTCTCAGGTTAAAATAACCAAAAGGTCAAAAAATCAATCCACATCCCAAACGAAGGCTTAGATTTTATGGTGTTGGTTTTTCAAAAAGTTCATGTACTTCAAATATGACAACTTCCTAACCATGAAAATTACCCTCACAGGAAATGAGTGGAGCCTTCATGAGGAATTGTATGCTACATTATGCACAATACAGAAACATTTTCCCAATGTGGGCACTTGGAGAATACCGCAAGTGTGTCTGGCCGTCTTCCCAGAAAGTATAAATTTTAAGTTTCAACTGAAACGTATACCTATATCAAAGCTGGCTGAACAGAAACATATCTCAAATTTAAAAAATAATAAATAAATTTTGGATAGTCTTATCAAACATGTATGTCTCATACTATCAAACAGTACAAGGCTTTTTTAGGAGTATCCATGCTTTATAAAATATTCCTTAAACTGTTTCTTACCACAATTCAAGAAATTAAAAAAACAGAACCATTGTGGAGTTGTATTGTGGATCAAGTATGTAACCAAGAAAAAAATGTCCTTGTCTCATTCAAGTTTTGTGTAATCAAATATGTAACTAATTGAGGAGGTTTCCTCACTTCGGAGGAGTTTGAGTCAGGATTTGGGATGAGATTGGGAAGTTAAAGCATAAGAGCAAAGTTATTTAATTTGAAACTGATAATTGAGGAGGTTTCCTCACTTCGGAGGAGTTTGAGTCAGGATTTGGGATGAGATTGGGAAGTTAAAGCATAAGAGCAAAGTTATTTAATTTGAAACTGATAATTGAGGAGGTTTCCTCACTTCGGAGGAGTTTGAGTCAGGATTTGGGATGAGATTGGGAAGTTAAAGCATAAGAGCAAAGTTATTTAATTTGAAACTGATAATTGAGGAGGTTTCCTCACTTCGGAGGAGTTTGAGTCAGGATTTGGGATGAGATTGGGAAGTTAAAGCATAAGAGCAAAGTTATTTAATTTGAAACTGATAATTGAGGAGGTTTCCTCACTTCGGAGGAGTTTGAGTCAGGATTTGGGATGAGATTGGGAAGTTAAAGCATAAGAGCAAAGTTATTTAATTTGAAACTGATAATTGAGGAGGTTTCCTCACTTCGGAGGAGTTTGAGTCAGGATTTGGGATGAGATTGGGAAGTTAAAGCATAAGAGCAAAGTTATTTAATTTGAAACTGATAATTGAGGAGGTTTCCTCACTTCGGAGGAGTTTGAGTCAGGATTTGGGATGAGATTGGGAAGTTAAAGCATAAGAGCAAAGTTATTTAATTTGAAACTGATAATTGAGGAGGTTTCCTCACTTCGGAGGAGTTTGAGTCAGGATTTGGGATGAGATTGGGAAGTTAAAGCATAAGAGCAAAGTTATTTAATTTGAAACTGATAATTGAGGAGGTTTCCTCACTTCGGAGGAGTTTGAGTCAGGATTTGGGATGAGATTGGGAAGTTAAAGCATAAGAGCAAAGTTATTTAATTTGAAACTGATAATTGAGGAGGTTTCCTCACTTCGGAGGAGTTTGAGTCAGGATTTGGGATGAGATTGGGAAGTTAAAGCATAAGAGCAAAGTTATTTAATTTGAAACTGATAATTGAGGAGGTTTCCTCACTTCGGAGGAGTTTGAGTCAGGATTTGGGATGAGATTGGGAAGTTAAAGCATAAGAGCAAAGTTATTTAATTTGAAACTGATAATTGAGGAGGTTTCCTCACTTCGGAGGAGTTTGAGTCAGGATTTGGGATGAGATTGGGAAGTTAAAGCATAAGAGCAAAGTTATTTAATTTGAAACTGATAATTGAGGAGGTTTCCTCACTTCGGAGGAGTTTGAGTCAGGATTTGGGATGAGATTGGGAAGTTAAAGCATAAGAGCAAAGTTATTTAATTTGAAACTGATAATTGAGGAGGTTTCCTCACTTCGGAGGAGTTTGAGTCAGGATTTGGGATGAGATTGGGAAGTTAAAGCATAAGAGCAAAGTTATTTAATTTGAAACTGATAATTGAGGAGGTTTCCTCACTTCGGAGGAGTTTGAGTCAGGATTTGGGATGAGATTGGGAAGTTAAAGCATAAGAGCAAAGTTATTTAATTTGAAACTGATAATTGAGGAGGTTTCCTCACTTCGGAGGAGTTTGAGTCAGGATTTGGGATGAGATTGGGAAGTTAAAGCATAAGAGCAAAGTTATTTAATTTGAAACTGATAATTGAGGAGGTTTCCTCACTTCGGAGGAGTTTGAGTCAGGATTTGGGATGAGATTGGGAAGTTAAAGCATAAGAGCAAAGTTATTTAATTTGAAACTGATAATTGAGGAGGTTTCCTCACTTCGGAGGAGTTTGAGTCAGGATTTGGGATGAGATTGGGAAGTTAAAGCATAAGAGCAAAGTTATTTAATTTGAAACTGATAATTGAGGAGGTTTCCTCACTTCGGAGGAGTTTGAGTCAGGATTTGGGATGAGATTGGGAAGTTAAAGCATAAGAGCAAAGTTATTTAATTTGAAACTGATAATTGAGGAGGTTTCCTCACTTCGGAGGAGTTTGAGTCAGGATTTGGGATGAGATTGGGAAGTTAAAGCATAAGAGCAAAGTTATTTAATTTGAAACTGATAATTGAGGAGGTTTCCTCACTTCGGAGGAGTTTGAGTCAGGATTTGGGATGAGATTGGGAAGTTAAAGCATAAGAGCAAAGTTATTTAATTTGAAACTGATAATTGAGGAGGTTTCCTCACTTCGGAGGAGTTTGAGTCAGGATTTGGGATGAGATTGGGAAGTTAAAGCATAAGAGCAAAGTTATTTAATTTGAAACTGATAATTGAGGAGGTTTCCTCACTTCGGAGGAGTTTGAGTCAGGATTTGGGATGAGATTGGGAAGTTAAAGCATAAGAGCAAAGTTATTTAATTTGAAACTGATAATTGAGGAGGTTTCCTCACTTCGGAGGAGTTTGAGTCAGGATTTGGGATGAGATTGGGAAGTTAAAGCATAAGAGCAAAGTTATTTAATTTGAAACTGATAATTGAGGAGGTTTCCTCACTTCGGAGGAGTTTGAGTCAGGATTTGGGATGAGATTGGGAAGTTAAAGCATAAGAGCAAAGTTATTTAATTTGAAACTGATAATTGAGGAGGTTTCCTCACTTCGGAGGAGTTTGAGTCAGGATTTGGGATGAGATTGGGAAGTTAAAGCATAAGAGCAAAGTTATTTAATTTGAAACTGATAATTGAGGAGGTTTCCTCACTTCGGAGGAGTTTGAGTCAGGATTTGGGATGAGATTGGGAAGTTAAAGCATAAGAGCAAAGTTATTTAATTTGAAACTGATAATTGAGGAGGTTTCCTCACTTCGGAGGAGTTTGAGTCAGGATTTGGGATGAGATTGGGAAGTTAAAGCATAAGAGCAAAGTTATTTAATTTGAAACTGATAATTGAGGAGGTTTCCTCACTTCGGAGGAGTTTGAGTCAGGATTTGGGATGAGATTGGGAAGTTAAAGCATAAGAGCAAAGTTATTTAATTTGAAACTGATAATTGAGGAGGTTTCCTCACTTCGGAGGAGTTTGAGTCAGGATTTGGGATGAGATTGGGAAGTTAAAGCATAAGAGCAAAGTTATTTAATTTGAAACTGATAATTGAGGAGGTTTCCTCACTTCGGAGGAGTTTGAGTCAGGATTTGGGATGAGATTGGGAAGTTAAAGCATAAGAGCAAAGTTATTTAATTTGAAACTGATAATTGAGGAGGTTTCCTCACTTCGGAGGAGTTTGAGTCAGGATTTGGGATGAGATTGGGAAGTTAAAGCATAAGAGCAAAGTTATTTAATTTGAAACTGATAATTGAGGAGGTTTCCTCACTTCGGAGGAGTTTGAGTCAGGATTTGGGATGAGATTGGGAAGTTAAAGCATAAGAGCAAAGTTATTTAATTTGAAACTGATAATTGAGGAGGTTTCCTCACTTCGGAGGAGTTTGAGTCAGGATTTGGGATGAGATTGGGAAGTTAAAGCATAAGAGCAAAGTTATTTAATTTGAAACTGATAATTGAGGAGGTTTCCTCACTTCGGAGGAGTTTGAGTCAGGATTTGGGATGAGATTGGGAAGTTAAAGCATAAGAGCAAAGTTATTTAATTTGAAACTGATAATTGAGGAGGTTTCCTCACTTCGGAGGAGTTTGAGTCAGGATTTGGGATGAGATTGGGAAGTTAAAGCATAAGAGCAAAGTTATTTAATTTGAAACTGATAATTGAGGAGGTTTCCTCACTTCGGAGGAGTTTGAGTCAGGATTT